GCATTATTTACGCCAACACGTGTAAGCCCGGGTCGTATATATCGCACGCACGAGCGCGTGGCGTACGTCACATGACATTTGACAATAGCGAGGAGCTTGTTAAAATGTCGCGTCTGCACCCGGATGCTTTGTTGATAATCCGGATTAAGGTGAATGACAAATTGTCCAAGGTGCCCCTAGGTGACAAGTTTGGCGCACATTTCTACCAGGTACCTGAGTTGTTGGCAAAGGCCAAACAGCTAGGTCTGACTGTTATTGGGTGCAGTTTTCACGCGGGCAGCGATTGCCAAAGCGCTCAAGCCTATCATCAAGCTATTTCTGATGCCCACTTAGTGTTTGATATGGGTAGAGACCATGGCTACGATATGACCTACCTTGATATAGGTTAGACAAAATTGTACAATTACTAATCACCTTGTTAAAATGATTATATTGATTGGGTATAAGGCGGTGGATTTCCCGGGTCTCCCATCTCTGGTGTTTGTATCAATGAGATGACTGATGCGGTAAATGTGGCACTGGATAAACATTTTCCCGCCACAGATTCACGCTATAATCATGATACTTTTACCATCGTTGCAGAATTAGGTAGATATTATGTAAGTAAAATAATTTTTATTAATCTAGTTATAAGTGTTTAATAGAATAATTATCTTAATTAATTTATTATTAAAATTAATATTGATTTTTGCATTTTATTACTTCACGTTAAAACGTGATACTTTTTAACAACTATCAAACTTTAAATATTTTTAACCACAATTCAAATTATGTAATAGACTTAAGCTTTAATCACATAGAAACCCATTTAAAATTTATAATCATAACATTGTCAGCTGTAAAAATATACCCATAATTTAATGTAATCCATAATCCCCTTGAACGGGTGCTAAAATGGTAGGGTAACCACACTTCATATATGACTTATGGTTAAATATACATATTACAAATTCTTACCAAGGTCGCATCGGCGTTTACCCTGGTGACAAACATAATTGCCAAACGATGGGCGCCGGTAGTCAATGACAGCCAACACCAGCCGGAAATTCAATACTACCTAAACGATGGAAACGCCGGCTCTTTACGCAACGTCCAAAGCGAACCGCAGCCTCTCATGTCGTTCCCGGGCCGACCCGTATACCCGTCCACATTATTTGGGCCAACCTGTTCCAGCTATGACTGTATTCGGCGAGGAGTGCCACTCACCGAGATGTTTGTGGGCGAGTGGTTGTATTTCAAGCATACGGGCGCCTATAGCCTGTGCTTTCGCACCGAGTTTAACGGATTCCCTGCGCCCACGTTTGAGTATATGGTTAGTTCCCGAGCGCTAGAAATTCTACACCGAATGCCTAATTGGCGTAGAATTTCTACCATAATTAATGATAACATGCATTATGTGTATAACGGGTTGCTATGGGTTGACGGCCAGCAAATTGATGAGAAACCAGATGAACAACATATGGAGGATAACAATGAATTCACACCATAACAGGTGTAACGACCGACTGATGGGAAGTATATTTTAAACACTAAACAGACAAAACATGAATTGCAATGATTTTGGTATTAATGATGCGATTAAATAGTATATTTACATATGTTTTGTTATAATGTAGTAAAAGTAAATAAAATTTAAGTTTTAAATATTTATTATAAAAATGGCATTTAATTAATTAAAACTATTTTCAATTATATAATATTAAAACAAAATTATCAATTAATTTCATATTTAAAACATTAAAAATGTAGTAATATATAAATACATAAATATACAGTTATATTTATCGGGGTAATAATCGGGGTCGTGATGTATGACATGTATAAAATTGTAATATGGTGTAACACAACACATAACATGTTACTGTATAAGATTAATCATGATGAATTTAATTAAACTTGTATTGCTACAAATAAATGTTATATGCATGGTGAAAAATTGAAATGTGCTGTGTCAACGCTTCTCGACTCCTACTATAAGCCTATCGGCTTGTAAGAGATTGTAACCAGGGGTGAACACCACGGGCACATCGGTGTCGGGCACACCATAGAAACGGAATTGTTGTATCATTTTGGCCACAACTAGTTTGATTTCAAGTAATGCAAAGCGCATACCAATGCAATTACGGGGTCCGGCGCCGAACGGTAGGTATGTGTAGGGTTTGATGTTATGGCGATTTTGGGGCAAAAACCGGTCGGGTTTGAAGGCAAACGGGTCGGGAAAGTTGTCCGGCGAGTGATGTATGGCATACAACGGTATCTCAACAATCACTCCCTTCTCGATCTTAACCTTTGATCCATCGCTACCACCGGTCAGCACCACGTCCTCCGCCGCCTCCCTTATCGTCCTGAGCCCTACCGGATAGTGGCGTAGAGTTTCCGATACAAAGGCGTCGAGGAGTGGGAGTCGGCAAAGGGTTTCGTAGTCTATGTCTGCCGTGTTTTCATTGAACGCCTCTTTGGTCTCCTTCACTAACAGGTCCTGAATATCGGGATTGAGTGCCAATTCATAGACACAATACGACAGCGTTTGGGCGGATGTCTCGTAACCGGCGATTAAAAATAGGGCGCATTGGGCGACGATTTCAGCCGAAGTTAACTTCTTCTCCACGACTCCACTCAACGCCTGTTTCTCTACTTTTAGTTCATCGATGCCTTCACTCAAGTGATGTCCAAACATAGCATCGGTGGCCACAGAGTCCGCACCCGTAGTCGTCGTAGTGTTGTTGTCCTCTCTCTCCACATCCATAAGCAGTTGCATAAAATCATTATGTTTTTTGTCCGACTGTTTGCGCTCAGACATCACCCGTCGGATGAGGTCAATGAAGAACATGCAATTTGATTGGACGCCTTTGGCCAACCCTTTCCACACCGGAGTTTTGGTCAGAAAAATCGGTATAATTTTTGAAGCAATTGTTTGCCACGTAATGATTGAAAATACTATTTTTGTCACTCGATTTGCTTTTGTTATGAACGGGTTGTTTGTGTTTGAATAGGGTTTGGTTTTGGTGGCAAAGGCAC